GTCATGCTCCTAAAAAGATGTCCAGTGAGGGTTTACCTGGCCTTGCCCCCATCTAGTTTTGTGTTCCACAAGGCTGTATAGCATGGTTAAGAGGCAGTGATGTAGTGACTAAGAGCAAGAATGAAAGCATCAGATACTCCTGGATTTGTGTGCATCTCAGTTCTGTCACTTTCTAGCTGTTTAACCTTGGTCAAATTTTACATTCTGGAGATTCAGTTTCCTGAATGCTACCACATGGATGAACCTTGAAAACATTACACTAAATGAAAAATTCAGTCCATATATTTTACTGCTCCATTTATATGAAACACAGAATAGGTGAATCTAAAGACAGAAAATAGATTAGTGGTTGCTTAGAGCTTGAAAAGATGGGGAAGCTGGAGGTTGATAACTAAAAAATACCAGGTTTCTAGTTAAATCCCGTATGGTTGGAACAGATTGATGGTACAAAGATTGCGTGCCTGCCTCCTGATTCTACACTGAAAAATTTACCACTTAAATATGGGAATTTCCCCTAACACAGAAAGGCTGTTCAAAAGACCATGGGACGTCATGATTATAATTACATAAGTACTAAAAGAAAAAAGATAGACTCCCAGAAAACTCAAAATCTAAGCGGGGTGGAGAGAGGAAGAGCATCTAGGGAAGAATATGAAGAAGGGAGGGTAATATAAATGGAAAGAAAATACAAAAAGAAAAATAATTGAAGAAAACAGATAAAAGAATTTCAATAAGGAGGGAGTAGTGAACAAGAATGTTAGTATTACTGAGAAATCAAATCAAAAAAGCTGAGAATTATCCAGTAGCTTTAGCCATTAGGAGGTCATTCATTTCCTTAGTAAGAGAAGTTTAATTTAGTATGGTGAGGAGGAAGCCTAATTTCAGTGGGCTGAAAGGAAATGGAAGATGATGATACAAAGACATAACACTCATAAAGAGTTGGGGATATGGTTCCAAAATGAGGATGCTGTAATAAACGTCATATTTAATCCTTGTAAAGCCTTATGAGGTAGGGAATGTTATTACCCATATCAGATATAAACAGGCTTTGAGACCCAAGATCATGTAAGGAGCAGATCTGGGCCCCACACCCAGACTTGTCTGACATCAGAGTAGAAAAAACTCTTAGGCACTAGATTACACTGCAAACCCTTTATAATAGCTATGTGTTTTAGGGCAATCCCTATATTTACAGATTCTCAGAATGGGAAGGGATTTGAACTCTATTCCTCTTCTTGATTCCACTTCATAGATCCTTAAAACCAGAATGTTTCTACCCCATCTTTCATCATACTGTGTTTATTCCTCTGTTATATTTGTTTTTGAATCATTTCTCCTTCTTATGGTAATAGAACTCTGATTTTTTCCCCCTCTGGGGAATTGCTCATGCACTCTACGTCAGTCCACTCACTTTGGCAGATGCTGACTCCATCCTTGTGTCCAAGGCTCCAGGGCTGGTCACTCAGCCTTGACTGGTTAGAACATGGCCCCCCTCTGGCCACTGTGATAAGTTTAGGGAAAAACTTGTTAACAAATTCAAACCACTAATCATATCCAAAACTTATATTATACAGCTGTGGAATAGAAGTCCTATTTTCTGTTAGACTTGAGATAGACCTGGAGCTGTGGGAGGCCATCTTCCCTTCACACAGAATCTGAGAGGGAAGCCTGTACTTGGGAGAGAAAATTCAGAAGATGGAGAGAGTTGGGATCCCAAAGAGCCCGTGGATCAAGCCCCATTTGAGGCCAGCACCTCTGTATTTTTCATTAAATAAGCTAATACTTTTTGTTTGTTCACTTAAATCAGCTTGAATGGGGTTTTCCTGCACTTGATACCAAGAAAGAGCTAATGCATAGCTTATCACTGCCTGCACTTTCTCCATGGAGTGTTCTAATCCTGCCATTTTTATCTTTGTTCTGTGCCTCCACCAATGCTTAGGATGATGTCTTGTATGTATCAAGTGCTCAGTAAATGCCTGATGGGTTCACAAGAATTGAATATGGACTGATTCTGCAATAATCTTTAAAAATTGCTTCAGGAAAACTTCCTGGCTGCATGCAAGCTTACTGAATGTCGCTTTGTCTCTTAATCACAAAAGCAATCTGCCAAAAAGTTCCAAATATTTGATCTTTCTGTTTGTTTGAATCCATGTTAAACTGAAACTTAGTGTAAACATGGACTTGGAAAGTTCACTACATGCTTCGACAAAACAGCTTGAAAGATGCAGAGTGGATTGTTTTATCAGTGGCTCCATAAAGTGAAATATTTACTTTATGTCCTTTCTGGAAAAAAAACACAAAAACACTACTTTTTCTCTAGGGCTTGATTCCTTTCACACAAAGAGACTGACATTGTCTCTAATAAAAAAGGGGTGGAGAAATTGGGCACTTTTCTGTTTATTACTGTGAAAACTTGGCAGCAGCTCTGTACCGCAAAGGCCATGAGCTATTGCCATTATGCACACTTTAGGAACACTGCCCTTTTGCACTGGACTCATTAAACAAGAATGATACAGACAGAAAGGAATACTTTCCAGACACATCGAGGAGCACTGTTAAATGATGTGTCATAGCTGTGGATGGCTGGAAAATCCTGATTTGCTCATGTTAATAACTGCTGAGATTGTTGTTCCCTAGACATAGGTAAAGAAAATCTTCTACCCTACCTTCACGACAAAAAAAAAATCCCATTGGAGGAAATATAGTGAGTTGATCATATTAATGTTCCAATTTATCACAACTATAATTATAGCTGTACAACTTACTAAGTACTTATTATGTGCTGGATACTGTTCTATGTGTTTTACACATATCAATAATAGATAAGGTCTGTTATTATCCCCATTTTACAAGTGTGAAACTGAGGTACAGCATGATTACTTAGCTTGCTCAAAGTCACACAGGTTGTAATGGCCTAGTTACGAGTCATGCCAGGTAGTCTTGCTCTACAGCATCTTTACTCAATCATTATGCTTTACTGCTTCTCATAATATTTGCACAGAGAAGTTGGTAAGCTTGTGGGAATATGGGAATGTGACCTTTTGAGAAAGTAATCTTGCAACATCTACTGAGTTTAACTTACATATACCTTTGACCTAACAGCCTAGGAACATATTTTGCAGAAGTAATAGACATATACTAAAGGGATTACATGCAAGAATACTTACTGCAACATTGTTTATTGAAACTGGAAAATCGTAAGTGAAGATTGAATTAACTTGACTGAGTTATATTTAGCAGGTGTATTTTGAATCAGCTGGGTCTAGATCTGTTGACCTGAAGGTAGATCCACGGTGTATTATTAAATGAGAAGAGCAAATAGCAGAAAACTGTGTGTAGCATAATCTATTTCTATAAAACAATGACCAAAAGATATATATTTGTGTGTGGTTTCATGAAAATTGAGTGGAATTAGGATATATCAGGCGTTTAGTATTTTGGGTACAGGAAAGTTAAGAAAACAAAAAACTAAAACAACATGTAACAATAGTCATGGTATAATGTCAAATTGAACATCAAATATAGAAGACCATAGTATTACTGCAAATATGTAATAATTGAATGTGCATTTAGGAAAGAGCTATATGGTAACAAGGGCAAATGTTAAATCACATATTAATTTGATTAAATGATAATCATGTGAAAAATTTTTTCTTTGAGTTTGGTTGCTTTTTAATATTGATTTTTATAATAAATAACCATTAATGGGCAAGGAGGAAAAGATGTAAACCTTTGCAGGAGAGGAGCAAGTCTAAAATCCAGAGGTGAAATTCAGTAATGTGGCCTATTCAGTGCATTGTGAACATGGGCTCTGAGATAGGCAGAGGTAGGCAGCACTGCCAAGCATCATAGGCAGGGAGCTCAAGAGCAAACAGGACAGCACTGAGGTAATATGGGACAGGAAGCAGCCCGTGTACCTACATTCCTGATCTGTGACTTGTTTGGACTCAAATCATAGTTGCCTGGACTTACATTTTTAATGAAGTACCTACCAGATCTAGAGTTTGGTAAACTATATTTCTCTATTACAAAGGCATCTGCCACCTGTCTCTCCACCCACCCACCTACCCATCCATCCATCTATCCATCCAGGTGTTCATTCACCTAGCATTTGTTGAGTGCCTGCTGAGTACCAGGCCATGTGCCAGGTACTCAGAAGGCACGCTTGCTTCTGTCATAGAAGGTCAAACATACTCTGTCCGTCCTCCCCAAAACCTTCTTTAAGGATAAACATGCTCATTTACCCTGCTCACTATGTGAAAGAGAAAGGAAAGGAATGGTTTTTCTTTTACATGTGGCTGGAGTGGCCTTAGACTTTTCACTGGGGCCCCCTTTAGCTAATAGTGGCCCTGTCGAATACCCTGATAGACCATGGCATGTGAGGCTCTCCATAATTGCCCCTGACCTATTTGGCCTGTTTCCTCTCCTACCACTTCTCACCCTCTATCAAAACTATCACTCCAAGTTTCTGAGCATTCCTAGAAAATATCATGCTTTTGTAAGCCTCTTTGCTTTTGTAAATGCCACTTTTCCTAGAATACCCCTACCCATCCTTTAAGAATCAACTCACATGTCACTTCTGGAAAGCTCTCAGTCACTTTCCCAGAGTCTGAGAAGCAAATGTAAGCACTTCCCATTGTATTTCCCCAATGTGAGTAGTGCCCCACGGGGTGAAATATCCTTGCTGGAGATAAAATTTGAATTATTTCCATGTCTAATGATTTTCCCTACTGTGGAGATGGATACTGGAGGGTATCAATTTCAAGTGCTATCAGCCATCCTTATTGTGAGAATTATATAAAAGCATATCTTAGCCAGTCCCACAAGGCAATGTTCTGATTATAATTAGGCTTTCTATGTAGCTTAAGAACCAGAAGTACAAGCTTTCTTCAATAAACTGTTGAGATTCTAATCTATTTGGCAGTTTTATTTCTCACTGAAAATTATTAAATAATCACTCTGATGTCTATTTTTAGTTTCCTGTGCATTTTATTTATCAGGAATCACTGGCAGGCCCTGAATCCAGAGCACTGAATCCAGACAATGTATGGGCTGGCAAAGCAAAGGAAGAAAATTTGGAAATTGGCAACAACTGAAAACAGGCCAGTAGTTCTCAACCTTTATTCCACAATACGCATAGTGAAGGGTGTTCACATGAACAGATCCTAGGGACAGTCCCAGGCCGATGTGGATTTGAGGGTGCTCGTTTAAACTCCATTACTTTCTTTTCCACTAAAGCATATTAGAATGCAAGTGAGTTCAAGGTTGCCACAGAGATGACCTTGAATCTGTTCTAATTTAAAAAAAATAAATTACTCTTGTTTTTTTTTTCAAGTTGCCCCACTCTGGTCTGTACAGTTTTGGGGGTGAGGTCTGTAAAGGATTTTAGCAGGTGAGCAACATGATTATATTTGGAGTTTAGAATGGAAGCTAAAATTTAGAATGCTACTGCAGTACTTCAGCAAGAGCTGATGAATGTCCTGGTGGTAAGGATGGAGGAGAAAGGATTGATTTGAGAGCCATTTAAGAGTACAATGAATAGAATGATTGGATATGGGGCAGGGGGAGGGCAATGAGAGAGAGGGAGAGGTTACAAAGTCAGTTTGCTTGAATGACTGGGTATAAATAGTAACAGCACTAACATAAAAAGGACCTCAGGAAAAGGGGCTGCTTAAGGGTGGGAGAAGGCACATTTCACTTCATATACAATAGGTTTGAGGTTCTCATTTAGGAAATCTGGACATCAAGTAAGATGTCAAAAATACAGTCTTGGAGATTAAGTTATAAGTATAAATATAAATTTAACAGTAATGAGATTATAAATGATAGTTGAAGTCAAAGAAAGTGAAAAGGAAAAATAGATGAAGGATTACATTTAGGAATACTAACATATAAGGGCTGCAGAGAGGAAGAAGCCAGCAAAGAAAGCTGAAAGATGTTGAGATTTACTAGAAGAATCAGGAGGGAAGAAAATTCCAAAAAGAAGAGAGTTTTTGATGATGTCAAATACCCTAGAGAGAGCAGGAGAAACAATGAAAAATATTTATTGGCTTGGCAATGAAAAGATCATTGAAGGTCTTTAAAAGAATATCCAGAGTGTGTGGAACACGGGCACTGGACTGCAGTGGGCTCAGGTGTGAGCAGGAAGCAAGGACTGAAAGGGAGCAGGAAGGAGTTTGGTGATGAAGGAAATAATAAGTCATGATAGCGAACATTTACTGGGTGCTTATTCTGTGTCAGGCACCGTGCCTGACATATAATTTCTCATTTCATTTTATGAACTACATATAATTTTAGTTTCCTTTTTTACATGAGAAACATACTTTGGAAGTTAGGTGAGTTGCTGATGATCACTTAACTAATAAGTTACAAAGACACAATCCAGACCTATAGCTGATGGACCAAAGGCCATGATCTCAACCACTACCCTGGGGTCAGAGGATACTCTTGTTTATCTGGTTATAAAATTATAAATGGAATGCTTCTTCTGAAACGGTGGATTTCGTTTTTTAATAATGAAAACCACACCCACAAAATAACAAGGAATTAGTTTCCTTGAATTGTCATTCTGATCTCATGCCTGGAACCAACTGATAATGAACTACTCCAGTTCTTTCAACATCAAAACTTTGCACTTGGCCAGCTAGCCGGTCAGTCATTAACATGTACTGAGCCTGGACTGTACAGGACAGAGAACTTGAAGTGGAATTAAGACATCAACCTCAACTTTTTGGACTTTCGGAAAAAGGCAGCTGGTGAAACAGAGAAGAGATTTCCAGATCCACATTTCTGTTTCTGACTTGTGCTGGAGGCAGCCCAGAAAGGTATTTTGGTTACGGTGTCCCTGCGGGGATTCAAGTCCATTTTTAAGTTGGTGTGGGAGTCTGTTTTACAGTGGGACTCTGAGTTATTCCAGAATCAATCTGCAAAGACCTGATTTCCCAATTTTATTAAGAAAGTGGACTTTCTGCGATTCACTGGTCTCATGGATCACTCATCATGTGCCAGCTATGTGCCAGAAGGGCTCCAAAGACAAACCTTTTCATGGCAAGTGCATCTCTAGGGCCCTCCACCTTCTTTCCTGCCAACAGATCTCAGAAAACTGGTGAGTTGACCAATCCAAAAGTTTCTTTGTTCTGTTTCTGCTATGCTGGGTCCTTGCTGCTCCTGCACAGACTACTGGGCATGTCTCCTGCTGAGGTTATACTGTTGCTGGTCCAGGTCCTGCCCTGGCTGCATGATGCACCAAGGTTTGCCTTCAAGGTTCAGCTCCTCAGCTCACTTAATACATGCTGAGTGTGTTCCGCCATGGTTTCTTCATAGCATCTTCAGGCAGAAAGCTCTGCTAGGTCCCGCCCTCCAAAGACAGCCCTTCTCTTAGGGCAGGTGCCTCTCTGGGGCCCTTCATCTTCTTTGCTGCCAGCAGATCTCAGTAACCACCATCCCAAGCCATTTGAGATCCAATATTCTTGAACTTCAAAGAGAAAAAGTCAGAGTCCCTTTCCTTTCCTCTCCCTAAGGCTGTCTGCTTGCACAGTTCCAGGGACACCATCCATACTGTATTCAAAAGGAAGGCTGTCCCTCCACACCTAGCTCCAAAGAGTCTCTATATCTAACACAATAGATCACCATATAAATGGTGTCCCCTGGAGTTGTGCAACTCAGCGCTAACTCTCTTCTCTAACCCCAGCTTCAGTTTTCCATCCAAAGGGAATGGGAAAGAACGGATAGTAATATTCCCTTCCTCCAAGGCAGTAAGTCTCTTGTAGTTGCATAATTAAGAAGGGTCACTCAAAGAAGGATCCCTTGCAAAACGAAGATCAGCATCAAGGTGAGTTTCTGAAGCTTATTTTTTAAATAAAAATAAAATATATTTTCTACTCTTTTATGTAACCCTTTACACAAATAGTAATAGCTGTCATTTATTCAATGGACGTGGCACAAATACATTACCAGCATCATCTCATCTTGCTTGTAGAAGAATTCTGAGCCTAATAATGTAGCTAAATGGACAGAAATTACAGTACATGATAGAAAAAAAAAATTACAGGAGTGAGGTAAGTGCAAGGCACCCAGAGAGTGTTGTGTGTGTGTGTGTGTGTGTGTGTGTGTGTGTGTGTGTGTGTGTGTGTGGTGGATTATTTCCAGACAGAGAGGCTCATCCAGTCAACATTCAGCCTATAATTACTATGTATGCCTTTTATATCCTGGTCTCAAGAATTTCACAGACCATGGGGAAAAGAACAAGGAAACAGATCATTTTGACAGTGGGGTGTCATGTGATGACTGCAATCTGGCCATCCAGGTAGGCTCCTTGGAAGAGGAGGCATGTGAACTACAGGCATTGAAGGTTTGGGGGGCTTCTGAACAGACAAGGATGGGGATACCTCAAAGCCCAGGGTTGCACCTGGATCTCATTACAATGGTCTCATCCCTAGAAGAGAGAGAGAAAAACAAGGCATTGTTAACTTCCTTTTTCAATTCTCCTTAAAGTCCCTCATTTTGAAACCTTTAATGGTAACCAGTCCTTCCCCTCTGTGCAACTGGCTTTCCTCCCACTGAAGATTGTACTGCACTTTTCTCTTCTTAACTCTGTTCACTTAGTGACCTTCTCTCCAATTTACCAATTCTGATCCACATCCTCCGTCTTTTCTCCCACTGAGAAGAAACAGCCAACTCTTGGACTTCCAAACCTCCTGGAAAAAGGCCAAGCTTCCATAAACTCCAGAATATCATTGTGTGAATTAAAATGGTCACATGGTATCAACCATGCAGTTACTCCAACGTTTATTTTGGAAAATATTACATTTGGAAAATGGGAAGCATTCCAGAGCATTCTCTTACCTTGAAATATCAATAGACACAAGGGTATTTTGAGATCATTTCTTGCACAAAAGTTAGCAAACAATCTTTACAATTAGACACATAAAATTGCCTTAAATAACATTAGTTAAGGGCTCTGGGACTTAAAAAATGCCTATAGAATATTTGTGGAGAAATCTGGGGCAAAAGGCTGCAATTGTAATGCAATGAAGCAAACTTTCAAAATGCCTTTGAGTTAAATCCCAGTTGGCTCTTATTGCACATTTGTCTTCCAATCACTGATGATTAGACCTTGCTCAGTTGCACATTTTCCAAGGTCTTACATGCTTCAATCTCCATCTCTCTGGCTATAAGAGGCAAAGCAGTCTAGAGGCCTAGCAAGAACTATATCTAAACCTAAAGGCCCATGCACTTAGGGGTCCGAGGGGCCCATACATGCTTCTTTTACAGTCCTGTCCTCTCATTTGTTTCTCCTCAGCCTGGTTTTGCAAAGCTAAAGCCACAGAGAAGAGTGCCAAGGGGTCAGCTGTCCTAGGGGGATCTTATTTATGCACCTTTTTCTTTAATGTGGCTCAATTCCCAGTGCCTATGATATGTTTGCAATGGCTACAACACAAGTGAGATTGGAAGGCCTGGAGAAAAAGGCTGGGAATGATGGACAAGGTTGCAGATCCTTTTGTGTGTTCTTTCTGGCTTTGAAATTTGATAACACCTGAAACTCAACATTGTCCATTATCCCATTTATGAAAAAGAAAACCCAACATACAAACATATACCTATACACACATGTGTGTGTGTGTGTGTGTGTGTGTGTGTGTGTGTGTGTAAATGCATAAAGAAAAAGTAGGAAGACATATGCCAGTAGACAAGAATGGTTACCTCTGGGAAAGGAAGTGTAGTCGGGGATAACAACAGACTACTGAGTTACATATGTCACTTTTATTTACATTGACAATTTATTCATGTAGTGTGTGAATGAACATAAAGAAAAATGATTGAAATAAAGTGAAAATACATTTTTTAAAAGAACTAAATAGAATTCTATGTACTAATTTAGAAAGCTACCCAAGAAATGTCAGGTTGAAAACAGCAAGTTTAAAGTGGTAAGTATAAGTTCAGTTTTGGAGGAAAATGTAAATATACTCACACATAATTGGTAGTATATGCAAAAAAAAAATTATGAGGAAAATAGTGTAAGATATTGCTGAGGTCATTTCAGGGAGATGGAATATTTCTGGGAGATGAAGATGGTGATTTTTAACTTTCTACCTTGTATGGTCCCTAGAATATTTAATTTTTAACCATATTAAATTAGCAGTTATTGATTTTTCTAGAAAACGAATGTACTGACATAGTATTATGTTCTTGATATTGCCCCCAAAAGACTGATTGCCTGGTTTAAATGGACCAACAACATGTAGCATCACTTTGACTGATTTGGACAGGTAACTCACACCCCAATCCAAATGATAATGTTCATGGGAGGTTCCTGAGTTTAATAGCAATCCCAGGTTTCACACCTGTACCTACCTTAGACAGCTAGTTCCTTCTGCTACAAATTTCTGTCTTCCTCTCCTTTTTTGGTAAACTCTTTTTCACCCCTTAAAACTCAACAACTTTCCCCAATTCCCCAGACAGAAATAGTCATTTCCACTTTGCTCCTCTAGCATTTACACATACCTCCATTTCCGCAAATTACTTCATGTACTCTAGCACTGCTTTTCAACTGCTGTCTCCCCTTCTGAATTGTCAGCTCCTCAGAGCAGGGAAAATATCTTATTTGTCTATGTATCTGTCTCAGGGCTTAATATAATGAACAGCACTTAGTAAGCATTCAATTAAAACTGTTCATTTCCTCAGCCTTCCCTAGCATAAGAGTTTTAAATTCAGTGGACTCCAAACATGGCCATTATCAGAATTTCTGGGGGATCATTTAAAAACACAGGTACTGATACCCCACTATAGCTGTTCTCAATTCAGATCTCCCTGATGGTTTTCCCTTTCTATTCCCCCTCCTCTTCCCATTGCTTTCCTTCCTGAACAATTCAGTATAAAGCCTGAACTGGACCTGAACAGGGTAGGCTTCCCCATGGGGCGGGGAACAGGACACAGACACCCAGAATGGGGTGACAAAGTCTGAGCTGCTTGAGGGAGGTATCTGGGTTGTGTGGGAGGGGTGATTTGGCACAAACGTTAAAGTCTGAGCAGGGTGAGAAGGGCATTCACATGGGGGATGATGCAGTGGTGCCTTAGGGTGGAATGTTGGAGCCTTACAATCAGAAGGGGTCCCCATGAGGTGTCCAAGCAAGGTGAGGGGTACCTTCCTGCTTGGGTAGCGTTTCAGAGCCCACACGGTAAGGAGAGTATTCGCATGGGTGTTGGGGGACCAGGGTGAGAAAAGATTAGTAAGTAAGTACATTTACTGGTGGTGTCTTATGGTCAGAGAGTTACAAATATGGAACAGGAGAAAGCTAGGATGCATCTTATAGTGTCATATGGAATTGAAGGCTCTCATAGTTTTCAGTATAGAAATAGATACAGAAATATAGATGTAGATAGTGTGTATGTATAAAAATGTATGTGTGTGTATGTGTGTGCACGTTCATGCGTGCTCTGTTCACTTGAAGGGTTGGAAGCAGAAACACCCTCATAGCAAGGATCATACTTAGCCTCTTAATTTCTAAAAGGAACTGGCATTCTTTGCAGAATTGGCTGATTCTAGTGCTGAGGCAGTCAATGGAAAAACTGAACCTGGTGTCCCAAACACAAAAGAGTGGTCAAAGTATAGCAGACATGTCTAAGGAGCTGCGAGGCCCTTCCAGTGCCATTCTGGGACAATTGGAACAGCAATGTAAGGAATGACAGTACTGGGTGATAACCCATTGGATAAAACAGGAATCCATGAGTACATACTGCTATAAACATGTAAGTGAATAAATTGAAAGTTTGATGAGGAACTGGATATTTACACCATCTTAAAATTCTCTCTCATAAAAAACTTATTAATTAGAGAGAGAAAAAGAATTACTTCACAGTGTATAAGCCTAGAAGATACTATCTTAATCAAGTGATTGAAATACCCATAAATGATACTGGGACAAATAAAAACGGTGTGCCCCTGAATTGGATGTGATGAGAAAAACGTGGCATCACTTCTGTGATATTTTTTCAGAGGCACATAACCACAATCTAATCATGAGAAAACTTCCAACAGCCAAATTGAGGGCCATTCTACAAAATAAGTGGCCTGCAATTTTAAAATGTCAAGGTCATCACAATCAAGGAAAGACTGAAGAACTGTCTTCTGAGTAGAGGCTAAAGAGACATGACATAAACACAACACATGATTCTATATTCTACTTTTATTTTAAAAGACATTTGGGAACAATTTACAAAACCTGAATGGGGTCTGAGGAGGAGAGGGCAGTGACATACTGAAATTAATTTTCCTGGTTTTGATGGGTTCTCTTTGGTTGTATAAGAAAATGTCTTTGTAGGAAACACAAATATTTGCAAGTATTCAGGTGCCATGTCAACAACTAACACTTAAAATGGTTCAGAAAAAGAAAAAGATATGTATTCTTCTTGCCACTTTTCTGTAAGTTTGATTTCCAAATAAAAAGTAAAAAAAAAAAAAAAAAAGATCCCAGATAGGTCCAACGCATCTCTGTTGGTTCAGAAGCTTCCCAGGTGATCCCAGTGTTCAGTAATGGAAACTATTGGGCTAGACAATGTGAGTGGATTTTCCCTTCTCACATGAACTTCTTTGTCATGAGAGTGCTTGTAAAAGTATAGATTTCTAGGTCCAAACTGAAGCCCACCTGATCAGATTTTCCAGAAGTAAAGCCTGGGTACTTTTATTTATAATAACAGAAGTTTGGGAAACATTAAAAATCAGCATAAAGGTCAATGACCTGTTTGTCCAGGGCATGCAAGGTGTGTCCATTTAGTATCAAAATAGTAAATAATATTGGTGCACCCCGGAAGAGAAGGAGGCTAGTATACAAGCTTTCTAAATCCTAT